ATATCAATCGGCCAAGACCTAGTTTTTCAAGGAGAGGCTATCTGAACGACGACTGCATCGAGTTTATGTGCAGTGTGTTGAGAAGATCGGCAACCCACCAGAGTCCTTCGCTTGGATGAAGGCGGCTGGCCTGAAAAGTGAAACAGAAGGCTTTCTGACAATCTGGGTAATGCAAAAGGCTGCAGTGTTGGGGAGTCTTCACATTCTCCGAAAAGTTCTGTGCGGGATCGACTAGGCAGCGCTTCCTGTGACAAGTCCCATTCGCTGTCTGGGCTGCTTTTAGAGGGTGCAAGGGCCCTTAGCTGATTATGAGCCTAACCAGCCTGACTGTTCTTGGATCACCTTAACCCTCTTTACTGCATTTTTTATTGTTATCCCGTACGTAATAATAATAATAATAATAATAATAATAATAATAATAACAACAACAACAATAACAATAATAATAAAAATGATAATGGTGATAATAATAATAATAATGATAATAATAATAATTATAAAAAAGTTTAAGCCTATGGTTCTTAAAAACAATTATAACATCAAGTGTTCTCGAAACGATTTAGATGTCCTATTGTACCGCTAGCAGCTCTCTGAATCCTCCGTTGCTGCTCACTGTAGGTGCACTGTGCAGGTGTGACTCAATCTATGTATTGTCTCAGTACACAGACGTGTGTGAATTAAAGCAGATGTTCGGTGCTGATCCATATAACTGTTTACCTTCCCGTCTTGTATACTAAGGTGTGTTCGCTACTAGGATTAAAAATCATTTCAAATACAAAAAACGGACTATATGCCCACGAATTATTACAGTTCGGCGCTGTCATATTAACATATCGTAAAACATGTTATTGAAACCACAAGAAAGAAATAAACAAGCAAATAATCCATATATTATATGGTAATTACTTATTTCTGAATTAAAGTAATTATAATATAAGATATAAAAAACAAAATATTATCATTGATTCCATCTTTGCAGCTTTGCCTAAGCGAACATCCCGCATCATCCCAGTATGTGTTGTAGTTACAGTAGTTTGACCTTTGACCTTTGAAGTTTTCTATTCTGGCCAGATGGACTGATTATATGTATAAAAGTAGCTATTGTTCATCCGTTAAGTATTGATTGACCTACGTTATATATTATATTCATAAACTACCTGAGTCTTAAAATATAGATTCGTATGAGTGAGCTTTTCTTATCGTTAATATTATAAACTGCCGAGCAAACGAAAGTATTCATCCATGTTTGATGATGGCTAAAATAAAAAAAAAGAAAGAAATGGTCATTCGGTGGTGATGCATTTGATACGGGTATCAAATATGCTTTGGGCCTTCATTTTGCAGCGTTTCGGCAGTTTACAGCTTAGTAACGTTTTGATAATATTTGTAACTGTTTGGTCCATTTTTAAAGTGTATATTAAGAACAAAAAACATGTTGATATTTACTATAGTAACTTTGGAAACCGAGTAGGAAAAATATAGTTTGAGTGAACCGACATAGCGCCAAATGGTTTGCAGCCATGTATGTTTATAAATAATAATAATAATAATAATAATATAAAAAAAACTCCACATCGATTTACAGAGCTTACCGAAAGTAGGCCCTGCTAAGTGTTCTCATTTACACATTTATCGGATCGTAAAACCAGGTTTATGACCCTGATAACACTAACCATTATACACTTAGAAGAATGTATAGAAGATATTTGACTTTTGTTTTCAAATAACATGTTCATCTCATCGAGTGACACAACTGATATTTTCTTGAGTTACGTAGACACGGATGAAAATATATATCAACTTTACTGATCACAAGATGAGATAAACATGTCACTTGACAAGTGTGAGTGAGTGAGTGGAGGGGTTTAGTTTACGTCACTTTTAGCAATATTCAAGCAGTATCACGGCCGTTGACACAAGAAATGGACTTCACGTCTTGTTTCCATATGGGGAATAGAACCCGGACTTTCGGTGTAACGAGCGAACGCTTTAACCACTCGGCTACCCTACCGCACCTTCTTGATGAGAAAAGCCAAATGTCTTTAAATAATAAGTACATCTATAAATGTTGATGTAATCGGTCAGAAACTGGTTTAGATCACATCTAGCCATTGTCATATGACCTTGACCGATTTGGCTTATTATCGAATACGATCTATCTGACGTAATCGTCTGTCTAGACATACACCAGTTCTAGAATAGCCGTGTGACCTCCTACAAGTTCTTTACTAGCCGTGTGACCTCTTACAAGTTCTGTACTAGCCGATGTGTCTCTCAGGTACTTTAACTTGATACTACTATTTCTACTTATTCAACGGAGGGTAAATTGAACGAAGAAACCATATTACGAATGAAAAAAAGTGGATTGCAAACAGAAGTTCACTTATCCCACAAAATATATACCCAATTCACACAATAGAAAAAAACCTGGTTTGAACACAGAAGTTCACTTGTCCTCAAAGAAATAAATCCAATTCACACAATAGAAAAAAACTGGTTTGAACACAGAAGTTCACTTGTCCTCAAAGAAATATATCCAAATCACACAATAGAAAAAAAGATTGAACGCAGAAGTTCAATTGCCTTCAAAGAAATAAATCCAAATCACACAATAGAAAAAAAAGATTGAACGCAGAAGTTCACTTGTCCTCAAAGAAATAAATCCAAATCACACAATAGAAAAAAAGGATTGAACGCAGAAGTTCACTTGTCCTCAAAGAAATAAATCCAAATCACACAATAGAAAAAAAGGATTGAACGCAGAAGTTCACTTGTCCTCAAAGAAATAAATCCAAATCACACAATAGAAAAAAAGATTGAACGCAGAAGTTCAATTGCCTTCAAAGAATATATCCAAATCACACAATACAAAAAAAGATTGAACGCAGGAGTTCACTTGTCCTCAAAGAAATATATCCAAATCACACAATAGAAATACAACAAAAGGTAATAAAATATACATACATATTCTACTTATTATTGTTCAATGAACAATACCCTAGATTTTAAATGTTAAAAGGTCAATCCAGTACTAGTTTACCGTACTACCTTAGAGATGGAGTGCATCTAATGCAAACACCATTTAGTATGTGCATCCTCAGGTGCAACAACACAACGTCGGGTTTACCGTTTGAAAGTAGTTCAGCTCTTGAAAGTAGTTCACAGTGACCGTGTCACAGCTATACCCTATTCACGGCACCATATATCCACAGCATGCATGTTATTTCAGACAGAGGCAAAACACAAACATTTGCCCACCTACATGTTTTGACGATTTACTCAGTGACCTTGACCTTGTAAACAAACGTCATTGAGGTAGATCCTTGAGTATGACCTTCAAACATGAACAAGTACGTCCTGAACACACAGGAGATAATGGGGATATAAACTTGATTTGATATTCGGCAAAATCTCAAAAACATAACCTGAGCAAGCGTTTCCGAAATACATGCGAACATAATTTACAGTGACCTTATAAACAATGTGAAAGAAGTACGTAAAATACATAAAAGAGATATAAGCTTGACCTCAAACACAAACGTTGCCATACAATTACACCAATCTCCAACGCGTCGTTTAAACCCTATTTCACCTCACTAACTCACCTAAAACGAGCCGAGCCGACAAGCATAAAAACCTAAATTGCAGCTACTATACGAACGGTCTAAACCTAGTGTTAATAGGGAGTCCGTTATGAACTATTGAACATTGGTCTACTGTACACATGTTGGGAATGTCTGACAAAAAAAGCTCGAACCATTGGAACACACATGTACACACTTCCCTGTTCAAAGGTTATTTTCATGTTTGATGCCTGTGTTGTCAGGGTTTGCAGAGCAAAGGTACTCGATCTTCATGGAATCAACAATATTTTATGTTCCTATTTTGTAAGGACAGATGTAGCCTTCAGGTTAAAGTGGTTCCCCGTCACGTAGAAGGTCCGAGTTCGATCCCGTACATTTTGTTTGTGATTATTGTCTTTCACGTCGCGAACACCTGGTGTCCTCACTGACTTTCAGTGATCCATTGATATACAGTAAACTACGGTTATAACGAACTCAAAGGGACTACTGATTTTAGTTCGTTATAACCGTAGTTCGTTATAAGTACATAAACAGCATGACTACAGCAAGTAGTCGGGACCAAAAAGTTAGTTCGTTATATCCGTCAGTTCGTTATAAGCGTGTTCGTTATAACCGTAGTTTACTGTACTAGTACTTTTCATCACTACTCTGAATTTTACGTCCAATGGCATCTGTTTTGGCACATAACCGAGATTATTTTCTGGCGTTGACGTTATATATTATACTCACACAGGTGAAGAGTACACGTATATTTCTTCTTTTTCAAATTACCTGTGCATGTGTACTGTAATACAAATATAGATACATATCCTGATAAATCTAGAAAGGGTATTTGTCAAATTTGTTTTGTATGTACAGGAACCATCTAAACTTAGTGTATATCTGTTTACGTGCAGACTGTTAATGAGTTTGAGTTTGACGTAAGTACATACCATTGTCCACATTAAGAGAATGCGCGATAATGAATGAAACGTCAAGAGATAAAACAGCTGTTTCATGACAGCTTGCAAAGAACAGAGTCCGGACCAGCAAGCCAATGTTGAGCGTATGAACAGCGCTCATCGCCATCTGGATATGATGACATACAATCTCCAGTTTGTCTGGCCCTGACACGATTGTTTACATGCAGAAGGGACATAACTGAAATGTAGTTGACTGCGGCATAAAATGACATTTAACCTCTCACACTCACCAGACTAAAAAAACAAACCAAAACCACCCGATAGCCTTAAAAAACGTTGCTAAGAGACACATGGGGTTCTGGTATCTGCCCCGGAATCCGACGTTTGAAGATGATGGCGCAGGTCAGAGGACAAGACACGACTCAACAACTGACAGAACTTTATTGTAGTGTTATTACACAAGGTCAGAGCGGTACCGTTAGTGACTGGGGTGGGGGTGGGGGTGGGGGTGGGGGTGGGGGTGGGGTGGGGCTAGGGAAGCTCATGCTCACAAAATAACCTGTAGAACATTATCAAAGTTATCTTCGTTTGTGAATAAACTACCAAAGTGAAATACCAAAAATAGTGTTAGATTATTTGTTAAACAAACAACTTGTAAACTTCGAAATCAAGCTTTTCATATATTAACACATCACATAAGTTGTCTGTCGACATGTGTGCTGGCAAATCCATGAATAAACCATGACAGGTGCTAGGAGTTCTCTCCCCTTGGTGTACCCCCCACCCAGACAATAACTGGGCAGGGTCTGAATTCTATCGACTCCTTATAAAGGATGTCAGGATTATAAATGACACACAATAATCATAGTTCTTTCATAAAAAAAGAATTAGTAGAAGCCATTCTTAAGAACACACTAACGGTTATTAAATCACAACTACCCAGTACACAGGGGAGAGAACTCAAATAATCTACATGCACTTGGAACTCATCGGGAGATATCGGTCTCCGTGTGGTAAACAGGACTACAAACGTTATCAGCCGAGGTGATCCGAATGCGCTATGTGGTATCTCCGAGATGGCACATTCGGTATATTGTAAGAATTATTCGTGATCGTAGTTCACGACTATATTATAATAAAGTCTGAGTATCACCGATTCGAGATTAGGCTCGATGTCATGGAATGCAATCTGCTCGTGCTCAAGCACGTGTTTTATTGGCAAGTGTCTATAAGTCACGTGATCACAAGGTACAATTGAATGTTCAGTAAGTGTCTTCACCCTGCGACATAAGAGGTCATACCCGTGCGATAACATATCCACAGGTTTAGTTTTTGACATGTGTGGAGTCTCGTCCTTTCACGTGAGAGGACATCGGACAAACATGGCGGTTCACGTGTTGTGTGGCGCGTGGTCCACGTGAACTTCCGGCAGCGCGAGATGTGGCGTGTGGTGCCTCGGCTGTCATACCCTTGAGTTACTGGTACTTACTTCGACAAACTCACTGGTACTAAAGTCTGATGTCCGATGCCTGTCACGCGAGTCCTCATGTCATTCCGACACCTGTGTATTCCCCGTTATAACGCTTTCTTCATATTCGCTTATACCGCGGCAGATCTTGCACATGAATATTCTCCTGAAGGCGAACTTGAAGTTCCTATTGAATTTATAGTAAAGAAACGGGTTCATCATTGAGTTGAGGTATCCTAGCCACAGGGCCACTGCCCAGGGGGTGTAGGGGATTTTGTATCCTATGATGGGATCGAAGATGTTAAAGATGAAAAAAGGGAACCAGCAGACACTAAAACATCCCATGATGATACTCAGCGTCTTGGCTGCTTTTGTCTCCTGTTTAAATTTCCCCTTCCCTTTGTGATGTTTATGGAGAGACGTATCAAGACTCCGGATCTGCATGGCTTGCCGTCGCGCCGCCAGGTAGATCTTCCAGTTACACACGCCCATGAAAACAACGGGAATGTAAAACGCTATAGCTGAGCAGATGAGAGCGAAGGGTATGTTCACAAAGAAGGGACAAGCGTTTAGTTCTGGAGGGGCTGCACAGTCCAAGAACTCCTCGATCCCGATCTGATTCCATTTGTTCATGATGGGAACAAACGAGATGAAGATGGGAACGACCCAGCATATGAACAGCATGACCGCAACCACCCGCCATGTCATGCGTTCGTGAAGGAATGGCCGGCAGATTGCGAGGTAACGGTCTATGGCCATACATGAGAGGTGGAATATGGAGACAGTGCACAACATCACGTCCATGCTGGTGACAATGGTACAAAACGTATTTCCCAGCATCCATTCCTTGTTGGTAAGCTGTTGGTATATCCCAAACGGCATCACGCATAAGGCAACACTCATATCCGCCACTGCCAACGAGACGACAAACGCGTTAGTTATGTTCCGGAGGCGTCGGTGGGTGACAACAGCGACGATGGTAATGGCGTTTCCGGCTATTGTCATCACCGGGATGAACACCAAGATGGTAGCGATGGTGTAGCGTCCAGCGGCGTCGAACATGGGCGGCGGACCGGCTTTGTCCGCCATGATCTCATCACAGGTTATGTTTGACATTTTATCCAGTATCGTTGTTTTTATTTATAAGTGACACATCTGCTGTATATTTCAAAAAAGATGTTTCACAGGTCCTAGGGCAAAGTCACAACGTTCTCACAACTTTAAGTACAAGTCCATAAAACCATTATTGCACTTCTCCGCCCCGACCATATCAAGGCACTTCCTCAACTAGGATATCACCTCCTCCGTTTTCCGAGTCTCGTATGCGTGTAAGTAATGTAAAGTAACGCAGCTAACAAGATCCCCTTGACTTTTGATCCAAGCCAGTTAATCGTGTTAGCTTAGGCTAACAAACCCCCTTTAGTTCTGTTTCCAGTAATGCGACAGTTACAGTCTAAATACGACCTGTCTATACTATAAATATACACTAGAGCTTACGTTGAATCTAACGCCACAACCATCAGACTGATCCACACTGAACGACGGCTCCCGGGATGTCTTTACCTCCGCGGCAGATTTCTATACACAGCTTTCACTACACTGCACAATCCGGAAATGAAACTTTTTAATATTTGACCAACATCCGTTAAGGTCCCAGCACGTTTGCGTCGCCGACACACGCAGCAGATAAATCTTGTGACTTCAAGACACTAGTATTCAGCAGAGCTCTTCGTGAAGTGGCAGCTTCTGTGCCCTGGCGTCACACGAGGTATCCACGAGAGTCAAAACACCATTCCGTGTTTCGGGGGCGGGTCCCCGGCGCTTTGGTGTTCTCTGTCTTCCATATTTGGGCATGCAGCAGCGTTGACGACACACCTTTACTCGTAGACCATTATAACCTGAAATGAAACAAAAGCACATCAACAAACATGTACTTCAAGATCCATTCATCGAAAAACAAAATATAATGCTGACGAAGCTTTTAACTTAAGTTGCTGCACGTACTACACTGTTGGTACCAACAGATGATAAGGCTTTGGTTTTAAAAAAAACCCTCTTTGAAATCAAAAATAACTCTCGAAACTGATGTAAAGTCTGAAAAAAAGAACAGTACATTAAGAGAGAGAGACACGGTCAATACACTGGTCGAAGTCAGAGCCGACTATGAATGGTTGTCGACCGGTCAAACAACCTCTACCTGCCTTGAAGATCAATAACACCAAGAACGCCGTGTCAGGTGTTGGCATCAGACGCGCCAAGCCTCTGTCGGTGACGTCGTGTTTACAACGCCGTCCCCGACTCCGCCACAAGATATGGAGTTATGTAATAGAGATTTAGATGTGTCGGAACAACACAAACACGGAGATTGATTTCAGAATAGCTAATGTCATGGCCCGTTAATCCGTCCTGAAAGATCCCCTCCATCACAGACGCTAGTACAAGATGTCAATAAGATTGAACGAGAGTTTACTCGTTATTACTAGATGGCAGAAATCCTTGCGTGGGAACGTTTCATTCTATAAGAAACTAAGCACCGCGGGCTTACCTTTGGAATCGCCTGGTTACTACGTAAATAGCTTGCCGTATCAGGTGGTCCCATCAAAAGAGTTGCATTTCCTCCTATTGATAACATTGTTACTTTCATTTAATCTATAAATACCCATGCTTAAAGGTTAATGAATCTACCTGCGTAGATGACCATCTTCTTAGGATCTTTACAGGGCTCATACAATGTTGAAATCGCCGTTTTGCGTAATAGACTGCCACAAATAACTAACCAAAACACAAATAGTGCAGTCATGCATTAAAACAACCGGATTCCAGTCAAAGCACCAGTCGCATAAACAAAAACATAACCCGACCCTTTGAACTGCCGCCTTGTATGCCCTTCCGTATCTTAAGAGCTTATGGACAGGCCTTCTACGGTATATCTGCTTTAAATCTGTAAAGTACGTGGAAATCAACATGTTAATTGACATCATTGATTACCACTCCTCCCCCCTCATCCATCCCCCTCATCCACCCACCATGTTGTTGCAAACACCTACGCAGTGGGAAACAAAAGTACAGTGTATTTATAAAGGTCTGAATATGATATAAATGGTGTTTGATAAGGTAAAAGAAGGCATGATGTCCCATGACTTGATGGATAAGTTTGATAAGGTTAATGTATACTTTGGATGGATTCCGAACAGTATACGTTTCATTTTCATATGTTCCTTATTTCTTTAAATGTTACATTGGAATTTTTAAACAGGAACTATATGATATCAGTAGAGTAAAATGTCAATTTTGTTTGTTGTTTAACGTCACACTCAGCAATATTCCAGCTGCATGACGGCGTAAATAATCGAGTACGGACAAGACAATCCAGTGATTGACATCATGAGCATCGATCTACGCAATTGGGACACGATGATATGCATCAACCAAGTCAACGTGCCTGACCACCCGATCCCGTTAGTCGTCTCTTACGACCATCATGGGTTACTGAAGACCTATTCTACCTGGGTATTCACGGGTGGCCACTTGCAATTTCATAACTATGTAGTACATCCAGTGGACTCATTGCTCATAACGTTATTACTGCACTGTGGTCACGTGCACATAATAGTTTCAGCATAGAAATTAGGTTAGCGACTTATCAAACTAAAGGTTGTCGACTTATCACATATAACAAGAGATTCGAACCAATCTTACAGCATCCCCAAATCTTCAGAATATTTGCCTTTTCTTCCTGCAGCTAAACAATAGTAACAAACACATTCCAGAAAAAAAATGTCTAATATCACAACAATCCTGTGTTGGTTAAGATAAAGTGTCTAGATAAATTACGACAACACGGATATTGTCAGGCAAGTCTACCGGGATCGGGTGGTCAGGCTCGCTGACCTGCTTGATGCATGTCATCGTATCACAATTGCGTAGATCGGTACACATGATATCAATCACTGGATTGCCTGGTCCAGATTATTTCCGGACCACCGTCATGTAGCTGGAATATAGTTGAGTGCGACGTCAAACAAACAAACAAACAAACAAACAAACAAACAAACAAACCTTCCTTCCTGTATCTGTAAAGATGTGAGGTTACTCGTACATTCCAAATCAGGCCTTTACCTCATCATGCGATATGTATCAATAACCGACACCAGGCAAAAAACACCATACATAAAAAAATATATCCAAAGTGCGGCACCAGGTGACACACCTCTCGAATGAGGTCGGGAAAGGTAATCCCTGTTTCTGATCTCTCCAGTATTGGAAAAGTGAGACGTTACGGGCACTTCATATGGAAGTGTGACCCCTCAAATGCCAGTCCGCTCGATGCCCGAGGAGTTCCCCTTCGACGAGTAAAGAAGCTGGACCACATTCAAGGCACATATAACGGTACATGTGCCCAGTGAATAGCGGAAGGTACGAAAAGAGTGAGTGGGTGAGTTGGGTTTAACTGCTTTGAACAGTAAAATCACGGTTACTCAGCTTAATTTTGAAATGGAGCCCAAAGTGTCGCAGGGTTAAGCCAACACCCCACCCTAACCCCGTGAAGACCTGGGTTCGAATTCATCTTCAGCAACCCATGTTTGTCGTAAGAATCGAATAACGGATCGGGGATCGGGCTCGCCGACTTTGTTGATGCATGTCATCGTATCCCAGTTGCGTAGATCAATGTGTATGACGTCAATCATAGGTTTGGCTGTTCTAGACTCGATTTTTCACAAACCGCCGTCATAAGGTTACATTTCAATCCGGTGGCACTGTTAAATGGACAAGTCAACCCTCCCCTCTCCCAGTAAGACCAGTAATCAGATGACAAGTGGCAGATGCTACACGTAACTAACAATGAAACATGGTTCTGATATACAATATTTTTAAACTTGTATACATCAATAGACAATGAGAAAGAGCACAGCCGTTGAAACACACCTGTCACAACTACCAGCAACACAATAGGATCGTTGACAAGAGTTTATATATTATGTTCTGTGTTCAAAATATGTGGGAACCCTGACAATACACGAATAACATTTTCTTCATGAAGTATTCTTTTGTGGGTTGACAAGACAGTGACAGTATTATAACAGCTCCACGAAATACGATCTCAATATAAAAAATAACTAAATACATTAAGCATGAATTATGTATGCTTAATCTAAATATGTGTCATGCTCGTTGTCATTTGATATTAATTGATTTGGGCCAATCCATCAATCTTTGATTAAAATAAAGCACATTTTTCACTGCAATAAAAAACATTGATTCAGGTAAAGCTATCATGAATGATTAACAAAGCAGAATATATAATATTAAATATGGTCAATACGTCAACTATCACCATACTACTATTAATAATATTCATCACAACCACAATGTTCATGATGATGATAATCATCGCCATCAACCGTCATCATTATCTGGTTGGGAAACATACACACATTTAAAAGCATGTCATGAATTAGTGGATGGAGTTTATTACCTTATGAGTCAAGTCGATTCAGGGTAAGAATACAGGTCTCCAGCAACCTATGCTTGTCATTAGAGGCGAGTATATGGATCGTGTGGTCAGGCTCGGTGTCTCGGCTGATCGGATGTCATCGTGTCCCACTTACGTAGATCGATGCTCACTATAGCAATGACTGAATTGTCTGGTCCAGACTCAGAAGCCAGTAGACACTCACAGCACGTGCCCCGGTGGAGCTTAACAATACATTAAAACAGCCAGTTGCCTTGGTACAGGTCAACAATAGATTTCAACACCACACTAGTGAATGTAGTGAATGGGCGAGCGGTTTTATGTCCCTTTTCGCCACGGAGGGGACACTGGAAATGGGCTTCACACATTGTACCCATGTTGGGAATAGAACCCGGTCCTTCGGCGTAACGAGCGAACGCTTTAACCACTGGGCTACCCCACCGCCCCTGCCTCAGTGAAGGTTAAGGATACACTAAAATATTACAAATATCTTAGTGGAGTCAACAAGGCACTAAAACAGCCAGTTGCCTCAGTCCAGGTCAGCAATAGACTTCCACACGTATCCAAGCGTAGGTTAAAATACACTTGCACATTACATATATCACAACAATGGTCAACAAATCACTCAAACATCCCACTTGTCTGGGAGGACACACGACAGGTATCACGTACATGCATGACAGACAAGCAGGAAGCGATCGCTCCACAGGGGAAGGCAGGTATACCTGTAGGTACTGTCGTCTACCTGATGTAGTGTGTGTAGTTAATGTTGTTGACGGTAGCACGGAATAACAAACGCAAATCGAGCTCCTTGTTTGACAAATTGCCACAGAGATACGGGTGAAATAGTAGCATATGCTCCATAACTTATTCATGTGGTACGTTTATACACTGACAAGGGAATTAATCATGTTACACAGCTGTCTCCCTGCGTAAAATAATCCCATAGATGAGATGTCAAACTGAATGTCGCACAATGCGAACCACTCGGTCAGCACATTTGTGAAATCAGAGTACTTGGGCACTAACAGCTTTAGCCATACCACGACATTGCTCTGGGGAGTAGGCACTGAAGGCACTGTCGAGTCCTTCGCGGGTGTAGTCGACTGGCCTGAAAAGTGAAACAGAAAGCATTCTGTTTGCTGCTCAGGACCTGTCATAGTCCTGCACCATGACCGTGGAATATATTTATTTTATGAAAAAAATAAATCTAGAAACGCATACAAAAGCAAGTCTAGCCAGCTCAAGCTACATGTAGCTCTATTCCACAAAAATCAGCATAGGGAATTTTTTTATTTTTAGAGTCAAGAAGGATATTGTGTAACATGAGATTTCAGAGACTAAATGTTAGTCTAGACATGTCACTTCCCACTCGAAAACGTCACTGTGTGTTTTGCACTCAAACAACAGACCAAACAGCAGCCC